CCCCAAAACCCCAAAACCCCAAAACCCCAAAACCCCAAAACCCCAAAACCCCACAATGTCTTCTGATAATTGAAGATAAGGTATTAACAATATGGAGTTATAGGATAAAAACATCTTCAAATTTGAGATTCTTGACTTTATCGATCTTGAATCCGAGCCTATTGAACATCTCCTTTACTCTGTCAGGATTTGTGACAGGGTTGTTAATTTCAACTTCTTTTAAGGTCTTTCTGATCATTGTTTTTGACATTGCCTTGGCTATGTAAGGCAGATAACCCATCCTTTTATCACTGACTTTAAGACTGAGTTTTTCTAATGAATAAAACTTCTTCCTGTTGACTGTAAAAGCCTCTCCGACAGAAGAGAGTCAGCATTCATCAAATCAGATCTTTCTGATTTCTGGAATGTTATCGAAGACATTCCTTAAGTCTTCATTATCGAAGTTGAGTCTGTAGAAATAGATACTGCTGTGCTCACTGTAGCCTCTTCTCATCACAGGCCCTATGGAAGAATTGAACTGTTTGACATCGCACTGCTTGGATGCCCCAAAATAAAGCTCTAGAATATGAGATGCCATGGTATGTGAAAGGAATCTGTGAAGATTTTCAAGTAGTTTCTCGTCAACTTTATTGACATTTACTATATTTAGTCTCTTTATTTTTGGCATCTGGTACTCTGCTCAGCACTGGAAGAACTTGGAGAGCTTGCGGCTGTTAGCAAGGTTCAGGTCAAGCACATAATTGGTGTCTATTTTGGCATTTTTATCTATCGAATATTTTCAAAGTAGTTCCTTAATTTCGGGTGTATTTGCTATCACCCTGGATTTTGAATACCTATCACTGGGTTTTAGCTTGTTTTCATTAATAAATGAGTCTACTTCATTACGCACAGAAGGGTATCTATCTCTCAGTTTGTACAGGAAGTCTATATGTAGCTGGGCTTTTTCAGTCTGATTCGAGAAATCCTCCTTCAAAGCTGCTAAGACTGTCAATATCTTGTAATTAACAGGTTCTATTATGGGGTTCTTAGGGTCAGAGGTGGGTGTTATCATTGGTACACGAATGGTTGTAGTAACTGACTCTCCAAGACATGGAATTTCAAAATCTTCATCATGCTTTCTTCTCTGAATTCTCTTCATATTGTTTGAATTAGTTTTAGTCATCTGCACTGTGGGCATCTTATCCAGTTTTGAATAATCAACTTCTTTAGGAATCTCTGGCTTAGCAGAGCTGTGAGATAACATTGTTATTTTCTTTTTAAAACTACTAAACATATTAGTATTACTTTTCCTTGGCCTAGGCGTGGATTGCTTCTCCTCTTCGAAGGTGTTTAAACTTGTTGCTCTTCTGGTCTGTTCTGAAAGAGCAATATCTTCCTCTTCTAGACGCTGCACTTTTTCCAAAAGTTTGGATGAATAAGTTTCAGCCAGAAATGGCCCGATGATATTATAAGCAAATTGAATATCTTTGTCAATTGCAGAGATTTGCTGCTGAAGAAAAGCAAAAATATCAAAATCAAAATGAGCTTTAGTTTTGCGGATCATTCCTTCAAACTCAGTTAAATTACGATTAAGTTTTTCTTTAATTTTCTCAAGCTTGCCAAGTCTTTCTAAGCCTAGCATTTTCTGGAACTCTTCACAATCAACAATACAGAGGAGGACCTGACACTTCATGACTTCTCTTTTGGTATTATCAAGGGTATTTTGAATATCAGTCCAGAAGAACTCAAGATCTCTGTAATTACTCTTGTCCTTTGTTAAGCTATACACATGGTCTTTGCATCTTAAGTCTTTGTTTTGGTTGTCGATTTTATACATCTTTTCAGCTGGTTTTGGGCAGTCAGGCTCGCTACATTTCATGTTCATGAGGAGAGTCCTGAGGGACCTTTTAATTTTATCAATCTTCCAATCGTTGATTTCCGGACGTACTTCAATCTCTATTTTGTTATTTACCAAAACTCATTAAATATGTGACACTTGGAAATTAGTGCATGAATCAAAGAGGAAATTGGAGTAAAATTTTAGCCAAATTTGCTGAAAACCTTATTAGCAGACAAAGCCAGAAATGCTAGTGCAGGAAATATTTTCTCTGAGATACTTACCGCCCTTATCTCTTTTCTCTAGTGGCTCAGCCGACCTTTTTGACATTTTTATATAATTTTCAATGTTAATTATAAGAGGTGGGGTTTTGGGGTTTTGGGGTTTTGGGGTTTTGGGGTTTTGGGG